TTAAAGATCCCTTGGTGGTCTAAAATCGATAAGAGTAGGCTTCGGCCGCCACCCGGGCAAAATTCAAAATTTCCTACCAACTAAAAGTATTAGGTCTGTCCCGCGCGCTCATACGACCTCATGCAGTTGCACTTACACAAAAAAAAAACTACACCAAAAAACCAAAAACATTGGGAACATTTGAGGTCAATTCGATGGAGCCCAATTGGAGGTTTGTGTGAGGAGCTGATCTATCTCCCAGGTCGCAGCACGCTCTGTCGGTGAAGGTTCCAGCAAACGTTGTGCACATTCCCTCATCGTGTCGGGTATCGTGGAGTCCTTGTGGATCAGAGGGAGATAATCCATCCTCATCTTCGCCCTTTCCCGGAACAACAGTGAGAACAGAAGCCTGCCGAGGGCGGAACTCTCTAGTTTAAATACATCTTGTACAGGTTGACCTTTGATAATTTCCGGGCCCAGGTAGGCTGGGGTTCCAAACCATCTGGTGCAGCTTTTCTTGTTCCCAGGCAGTCTCCGAGCAAAACCGAAGTCACACAATCTAATGTGATGAATGAGTACATTTTGTGGCTTCACGTCACCGTGCACAATTCGGCGCTGATGGAGAAAGGTTGACAAAGCGCTGACGGTCTGTGTGAAGTAGCGAATGACGTCAGAGTCTGTGACACGAGATAGGGCACTGGCTAGATCCGAACTGTGTGGCTCCAACACGAGAGCTAGTTCTTCTCCACAGCTGAGAGCTCTCTGTAGTTCAACGATGGTTGGGTGACTCAGCTCTTTCAGGATGGTTACCTCGTTGAGGAAGACAGACAATTTCTTTATATTTTTGTCACCTAGGCTTTCCTGTTCGTCGTACACGATCTTTTTCAGAGCTTTCTTCCTGCCTTCTGTGCTAGACTTTTCTTCAGCCAGAACGACTTCTGAAGACGCGCCCCTCCCCAGAACACGAAGTTCTCTCACACCTAAAGCCTCCGCTGTACTCAGACGGTGACTCTCAACGAACTTCGGCAGACGAACACACGCCATTTTGGACAATCTGTAGTTCACACAAACTTTTAAGAAATTATCCCCACAACATATAAACGACGTGCCGCTCTGTAGATTTTTTTCAAATGCAAATAAATGCCCCCCAAAAACGAAGGATTTCAAGAAAATTCTCATAAGCAATGTTAATCCACAGGTGTTATAGTCCAATGTGTGTGTGTGTGTAAAACAATTCACAAGAGGTCTCTCTGTAACTGACCAAAGGAAAGTGAACCTCTAATAAGCACAATTAAGTCCGGTAAAATTCACACCACGAATGCTGAAGCACAATGTCCAATTGGTGTGAAACAATACACAGGACTTCACTCAAACTTTCGAGAAACTGTCCCTACAGGAAGTGACCACAGTGCGCTCTGTAAACAATTCAGATACAAATATTTCTCACAAATAGCGCTGAGATCCACGAAAAATCCCACAAGCAGCGCTGAAGAATAGGAATAATATTCCAACTGTTGTGAAACAAAACAGTAACATTTACGGAACAAACTTTTGAGAAATTGTAACCACAAGAGATGAAAGTGATGTCACACCGTCGAGTGGACAAAGGAAAACCGCAGTAAATCCCCCCCCCCCCCTCCCCCCCGACGCGTCGCTTTGGTCAAGACAAAGGAAGCCCCCGAGTGAGAGAAATACAGCGGTCAGCCAATCGTCTGCTCCGTAAGAAAGTGTGTAAGGGGTTATCGTTCTTAAGTCTTACGTGATTGAAAAAACAACAACCGCTGGACATGTGCCCTATGAGTGGTCCTTCTCGAGGTCAACTCGTGATTGACGGTCGGCCCAGCCAATCAGAACACAGCATGACTAGGGGGCACCTCCTTCTGTCCACGCACGCTCACCTGAGGAACGATGCACCTCCTTTGTTCCCTTACACGTGGGCAACAAAAAGTTCTTTGTCAGTTTTAAAACTTTTCTCGTGATTGATTCTCTCCCCCCACCCACCCAGGTCACAATTTGATTTCCATCTAACCGTCCCTCTCTCTCTCTCTCTCTCTCTCTCTCTCTCTCTCTCCCTCCCTCACTCCCCCCTATCTATCTCTCGGAAAAAAGAGCGACAGAAAGACATAAATTTAACTAACCATTTGGCATAGGATTTTCGATGAAGTGAAGGTCAAAGTTATAATAACTCTTTTTGTGATCTCTGTACACCTTCCTCAGGGCTTCTGACAGCTCTTCGGCTCTCTGAAACAAATAAATAGATAGATCTACAGTAGGACCAGCTGTAACGACCACCTGTTCAAGACAATTGCCTTAACACTCAACCAAGTTGCACTTCCTTTTTTGCATTAAAAAAATATGATCACACTGTCATAAAGAAATACTGGGGTTTTTTTTTCTTCATTAAAACATTATTTTTATTTTATGTCTTTATAATTTTATTTTTTTATATTATTTTACAGAAACACTGTTTACGGTGACCACTTTTTTTCCAACCATAAGGTGGTAGTCTCGGACAGATTATGGGCTCTCGTGGTCTAGAGCAAAGGTACAGTGTTTGCCTCTCATTCAATAGGTCCCCAAGGTTCGAAACCTAACAGTACAGCTATAATACAATTTATTCTTCAAAATGTTCTCCTTTCACCTCCTTTCCTGCTCTCAAACATTGTTTTGTCTCCTTTCATCTCCACTTTCTGACCCCCCCCCCCTTTAAAAAATTTTTTTACTGCTGTCTTTTAGCCACACCCCTGATCTTAGGGTAGGCAAGATCTTACACATAGCCTCGGATAAGTGTGAAAAAACCTCGGAGGTCTCGTGTGGAAGTTGCGCACGTAAAAAAATCCCTTGGTGTTCCCAAAATCGACAAGAGTAGACTTTGGCCGCCACCTGGGCAAAAATTCAAAATTAATTCCTACCAAACTGAAAATGTTTAATGTGCACCCTATGACCTTATGCAGTTGTGAGCGCCGTAAAACACTAACGAAACAAAAACAGACTTGAAACGTAATATCATAGATTTGAACTCTAATTTTCGACAGGTCTGATGGATTTTAACGTAAATATTTTAAGCCTCAACCGGTGTTATGTGGATCAACTTATAAGTGGACTGCTTTGGCCCTTGCCTTTCACCACCGACTGGTGCTGTGTTGTGTTGGACATTATCATTCTACAGAAAATCGAAGATATTCGAGTAAATACCTTCTCAAAGTAGGAATTAAATTAAATTATTTCACGAGTATAGTTAATAGCCAATTCAACAAGGTGACTGCCATATTTCGACTTATTTTTTTTAAGTTGGCGTTTTTACGCCCCAATTGATACAATTTTGATTGATTTAGGAGTTGGGATTCAACCCCGCCTATCAGAGCCAACCCGGGCTGGGAGAAAAACAACACCCCAGCAGAAAGACCTAGACACCCGATAAAAATTCTCCCCACTCGGGATTCGAACTCGGATCTCCTGGTTGCGACATGAAAGCGCCAAACCGCTACACCACAAACGTCGGTACAATGACTTTAAAATATCATTTTTTTTTAATGGAAAGAGTACAAAGGAACACTTTACTCAAAGTGTGCCATGTCGTTTGATCTTACTCCATCTATACACCATTTCTCCCCTCATCTCATCCCTTTGTTTGTTTTAGTAGAGGTATTACGGCGCTCGCAACTGCTTAAGGTCATATAAAATATGAGCGTCAAGGGGTGGATATCAACAGAGAAGTCCTTACAGGGAATTAGACTTACTCTGCTCACCTCTCTAGCTTCAACACCACGAAGTCTGCTTCGACTATCAAGGCACCCCGGAAATAGCGGGTCACAAGAGTGTGACAAACATATAAAAGAAGTAACGGAAAATGACGATAGTAAGGGTCAGGAATAAAAAGCAACAGTTCCCTGTTGTACTTCAGACACAGTTATGAGCATGACATTGTTGGATCAGCCCATTTACAATTCTACTGTGCATTACAACGAGAAATGTCCCCCCCCCCCCTTTGGGAATGGCCTAAAGACACTTCAGTCAGTGGCACTGCCCCGGGGGCTATCATCCCTGTGTTACCCAATGGCAAAACATCACTTGGCATACAAGAGCGCATCATAATGTGACTCTTCATGACATTCCATCCCGCGACATTACACCATACCACACAACATTACACGACAACAAATTATGTTTGTTATATGTCATATCATATCACATTCTATTTAATTACATTCCACACCTCACCCATAACCTAAAAGTTCACCTCGTTTCATTTTCCGCTATTTCAGCTGTGCTTTAAATTTCAAAAACTCACATCACTCCAAATTACATAAAATCACATCACATCGCATCGCATCACATCACATCACATCACATCACATCACATCACATCACATCACATCACATCACATCACATCACATCACATCACACCACATCACATCACACCACATCACATCACATCCAATCGTATCGCATCGCATCGCATCGCATCGCATCGCATCACATCACATCACATCACGTCACACCGCATCAAATTACAGGAAATCACATCTCTCTATTTACCTCGGCTGTCAGGTTTCGCAAAGTGCCATTCGTCGTCAACCAACCAGAGCAGGGTGAAATCTACAGAAGCAACATTGTTTAGACTTAAAATTCAAAATTTAGTAAGTCCACTTTTCATGACTACCCGAAATGATCAATATTCAATCCATAAATACATTAAGTGCAGCAAATATTTAAAAAGCGAAATGATCAATATTCAATCCATAAATACATTAAGTGCAGCAAATATTTAAAAAGCGTCCCTATAACTGTATAAGGAACAAGGTAAAATTATGATAATATTGAAAGAATTCTAGAAAACACACACACACATACATACACACACACACACACACACACACACACACACACACACACACACACACACCCCACACACACGCACAGATACTGAAGGTATCAGAATATTAAAAAGGAATGATAGGACTTGGAATAAACAGGTATGACAATGTCCCGACGTATGTTACCTAGAGAACAAATTTCGATTTAACCCCTTCATTGCTAAAACGTGTATCTTCGTTTGTATCGGTAATGTAAAATGCTTATCCAAGAGAGATTCGACTAAACCCATAGTACCTGCCATCTTATTATAGAATAAGCAACTGCACATGTGATAGTTACATTTCTTGAACTTTCTTCTAGAGGTCAATTTAAGAAAATAGCAATGAACATGTTTTGGGGAACACAAGGGAATACATACGTCCACACATCAGTGAAGAGGTTAAAGTATAATGAAAGACATAACCTGCAGTTTTGCTGTTGGTTATTTTTTTCCTTTTTATTTTATGTAAAAATCAGTGTACCCATTAAACAGATTGCGATACATGTGTACAAGCAAACATTACAAACAATTTCAGAAGAGAATATATTTACTATTAATGTCTTTAAAAAAAATAATAAAAAGAATCCTAAATCAAGATGTTTGGCAAAGCGAAAAGGACAAACAATACAAAGAATGCAAGTTTAAAAAGTATTTCACAAAAGCAACCTCTCACCCACTACCCCTGTCTCACTCTCTGTCTCTGTCTCTGTCTCTGTCTCTCTCTCTCTCTCTATCTATCTATCAACTCTCACTCTCTCTCTCGCTCTCAATCTCTCTCTTTCTCCCCTCTCTCTGCCCCTCCCCTCTTTCCATGAAATCATTCTTCTTAAATATCTTACTGTTACTGAATATTGTCAAGGCCCTATTGAATTTTATTTCATGATGAACAACAAATCTAAATTGTAAGAACAAAAAACATGTGGCCCTGGACAAGATAATAACAAACGATGCATTTAGGAACATGTGTATACAGAGAGAGAAAAAGATAGAGAAAAAGAGAGAGA